AAAAAAAAAAAAAAAAGTTTCCCATTTAAAATTATTTGAAACTTTCTCATTTCCCCCTTCTCAGTGGAAGAACAGAATTAAGTACAGTAAAATGCTACATATTTAACCTCAATAATTTGGAATTTAGAAACTCAAGAGAATGAGGTAATTACCTGTGTGTGTGTGTGCGCGTGTGTGTGTGTGTGTATGTGTGGTGGTAAGGACTGAACTCAGGGTCTTGTACATGCTAGACAAGTCCTCTACCACTGAGCTACACCCCCAGCCCAAAAGCTAACTTTTAATTTCTAACTGAAAAAAAAATTCCATAGTGAGAAAACTCATAGTATAAAAATACAATGAAAATATTTTATCTTAAGGAAATATACTTTTTCATGCACTTTTACCAAAAAAATTAATGTGCTAATACAAATAATCTTGATAATCACTAGGAAACTGGAGTGACTATATAGGCTTGAAATTAATATTCTATAATCATACTTTTTCACTGTCTCCTAATTAGCTTACATTCATAAATTATTACTAGTTAAAAGGTTTTGGTTTTTTTTGGTACTGGGGATTGAACTTGGGTCCTTGCGCTTTCGAGGCAGGTGCCGGAACCACTGAGCTAAATCCCCAGCCCATCAGTTAAAAGTTTAATGAGCTAAAATACTCTACTCAAGAGTTTGAATCGTTAAAAGTATGCTAGGAAAAGTTCAGGGTAGCAAATCTTTCATATAATGAAGGGAGAAATCCTATTTCAAAGTCAGTTATCAATGACTTCTGGATCATTTATTTCTTTTCCTGGCCCATAAAAATGTTATAACCCTAATGCTGAACAGTGTAGTAAAGTTAAAAAAGAAATGTAATATTTATTTAACAATTTCCCCCAAAACTCCAATCAGGTAAAATAAATCCAACGTATTAGTGTTAGTTTGGTACTGAAGGAATAAAAGATTCAACTTATAGAAAAGCCCCACCTCCCCTCTGTATATAGAAATCTGTCTGCAGACTGTCTTTAATGCCCACTATATAAACAATATTAAATATTCTAAGGTAGAAAATAGTATTAATAGTTTATTGGTAAAAATCCATACTCTAGTATTTTATGGAATTAATAGCTTGTTTGGTATATTAACATACCATCTTAATTTTTGCTAATATTACAAAGAAAGAGGAAAAGCTAGAAATATCTATAAAAATAAAATACCTTAAAACATCTAAGCAAAATATAAAAGTTGCACACAAATTGCCAATAAATATAAACATCACAATAGAAAAATTAATCTAAAAAAATAAACTCAATTGCTATCAAGACATTATAAAAATGAAAAAATTTAATGTGCATGTTTATTTGCAAATAGACACAGTACACACCAAACAATCACTATAGTTTTACTACCATTACATAATGCAGCATACAAGGTTACTGAGGTGTGGTGTTTTTGCTTTAGTCTATTTATTTTCTGGAGTAATGCTCACCAAACTCACAAAAGCAAGAACTGGTTAAGTGATCATTTACTGATGTTTACTGCTACCTATTACAGGGGAAATTGCTTTCTGGTAGGTAACTGTGTTTCTACTAAGCATGAATGGTTCTATTTTTTTTCTTTTGTTTATCTTCTCCAAAGGCAAAAATTGCATATTCTCTCTCAGTGCCATGGAATGAATCTGGGCCTTGAACATGCTAAGCATGAACTCTACCACTGAGGCATATCCCCAGTCCTATATTCTATTTCTTTTCATTCATTTTATTGGTACATTTTAGGTACACAATATGCTGACATTCATTATTGGGAATTTGTACCTTTACATAATATATCTTGGTCCTATATTCTATTTTTAATTAGCTGATGCCCTTTTAAATGTATTGTTGTCATTTTTCATGGTTCTCTCACCACAGAAAAAGAAATTATCATTTAAAACATTCTTTAATGTCTAAAAAGAGAAAATTGCCCTAAAAATAAAAGATATAATTATTTGTGTTCTCTTGTAACTCAATGAAGATTTAGTTCTCCTTTTATTAGAACTCTTGGTTACTAAAGACTAATTAGAAAAGTTTAGGCCTGGGGCAATCTGTGCTTAAAAAACAAAACAAAGCAACAACAACAAAAAACAATTCCTGGCAAGGTACTTTCCCTTGGGATATCTGCTACTACTAGCAATTATCTTGTTAAAAAGTTAAGTAGACTATGGCCTTTATACACTACTTTATAGATTATCTTGAACTCAGCAGAGAATAAAAAGGTTTAACTGTCAAAAATTTTTGTTTTCAGGGCTGGGAATATAGCTCAGTGGTAGATTGCCTGTCTAGTATAAACAAGGCCTTGGGTTCAATCCCCAGAACAGAAAAAAAATTGTTTTCAAATTTACAAAATAAATGTGGTGAGCGTTTACCTGGGTTCTTTACTACATAAAAGCTTTCATTGGTTCCCTTGACCAGATTCAAGCCAACAAATAACATTATATGAAACTGTCATACTCTTGAAATTCTAAAATAATTTATCTTTAAAATTTTTAGCCTCATGCTATTTGAAAAATAAAAAATCTACAGCACCATCTTCTGAAAAGGCACTTTCTAAGAACCACCTTGCTTTTAAAAATGTTTTAAAAATTTAATTCAGAGTCTATCCTGAAAAAAATCTTTGCTTTACTGAAACCCTAACATAGAATATGAGATCAGATTTTGGTTACTTCAGACATCAGTTTTAAAAAGGATGGGAACCCAATGGCTGGATCGATGCTTTGTTACTTGACAGGGTTTTTCATCTCAACCCTCCATATTAAATTTTTTATCTTTAATTCAAATTAAAATCTTTAACTTTCATACTTTAAGAACAAAAGATTCTTTTTTTGGGGGGGGTACCGGGGATTGAACTTGTGACCTTGTGCTTGCAAGGCAGGCACCGGAACCACTGAGCTAAATCCCCGGCCCAAAAGATTCTTGATATTTAGTCAACAATGTAAAAATCTAGAGCACTATTTTTTTTTTTTGGTACCAGGGATCGAACTCGAGACCTTGCACTTGCAAGGCAGGTGGCGGCACCACTGAGCTAAATCCCTGGCCCTAGAGCACTATTTTTGATGGGTAAAGTAAAACAAATTTAAACTAGCTGTGGCTATTAGCACAAGCCTTGATCATTAAAAAAATTATGCAGACATAAAAATTATAAGATTAAATGTACCATTTTTAAAGTAGGAAAAAAGTAACAATATTTTCCTTTTTATATGAAACGTAGACATATAGTTATATCTATTATATATGTATGTTTATACATATACATACACACATAAATATTTCCCCTCTCGACTCCAGGACTCAGCTTTGGCTTTCTTTTAATCACTCATGGCATCCTTTCTGTCACTGTCATTGAAGAATGTTCTTAGTATAAGCAGAAATGTAAAATGTTTTTGGAGAAAATTCTTTCTGATTTCTGTACTGATTCTTACATATTTATTCTTGGGTTATTTTTTGACCTCTAGACTCACGAAAATGCTTTCTTTATATGATCAAATGCAAGGGAAACAGGAAAACATTCCCTACATCAGGGTTATACTGCTACTCAGGAAGGCCTTATGTGATATCAGTCTCCAAACTACTATTACTGAAGTTTTAAAACATCCACAGATTTTCAAAAAAGACTTTTATTTCAAATGGGTAAAAAAACCAAAATAAAGATACTGGACTGACTGATATCTTTTTACAGCTTGATGAACACATGAAACGTAATTTAAGTAGCAAGAAACTGTTAAGGGTAGTCTTTCTCTCCAACAGGAGAAAATCTAAGAGGATGAGTTAAGGAAACATTTAACTAAGGTTTAATGATACTGAATGAAAGTTATGCAGAGTTGTCCATTTAACTTGGCAAAACATTACCATCAATTTTGAAGTAGGAAGACTACAAAACAGTCTATCCATGTTCAGGTAAATTTTCTAAAAACCATTCCTTTGGCAAAGTGATGCAAACCTCTGAAAAGAGTTATCATGTTTTTTGGACAACAGTCTCTAATTCTGGACTTCTGACCTAATCCTGGCTGAGTGCTCACCCTCTCCTCTGACAGAGATCATTTGCCAGCTCTTTCTACTGAATGGCAGCTTAGCTTTTGTTTCCCTAGACACATCTTTTTTTTTTTTTTCCCCCTAGACATATCTTAAGTCTTGCCATAACTCTAAGTCTATTGAGTCTGTCTCCCTAAGATCCATTAGAGAAGACACAAGTTAATCTTAGGCTGAGGTGGGTCACAGAGAACCTAGCTTGGAAAACTAGTCCTGGTCTTTAGAAGGCTGGCTGTCCCTGTTGAATTTATACTGATGGTCTTCCAAAACACCCAGGAAATTCCTACCAGAATCTTTCTAGAATTTCTTCTAGGAAGAGAAGTAAATTAATAGATTATAAACAGGACTGTTTGCATAGGCTAGTTTTTCTAAGAAACTTGTTAAGGGTAATTATTAAAAAGAAAGGGGGAAAAGAAAGAAAGGGCATTTGTATTTCTGTGAAAATGTGCCAAACACCAGTACTGAGAAGGCCAAGGAACCCCCCCCCTTTTTTTCTGGTACTGGGGATCAAACTCAGGACGTTGCACTTGCGAGGTAGGCATGGCACCGCTGAATTAATCCCAGGCCCAACGAATCCTTTCTTAAATTGTAAAAGTAAGAAATTTACATTTCTAAAACAAGGATATTCTGATATTAAATTGAAACCAAAATGATATTACCCTTTATCACTTTAGTATTTCATGTCTTCACTCTGATTTAGAAAAACAATAAAAAGGGTCTAAACACTAGCCTTGAATCCTGTTCATCTCATTATTGTTTAGTGCAGTAATTATCAAATTCTACTTAAATAAATATAGCAGCTATGGTACTATAAATGTATGGTCCTCAATGCCAGTAACTTGATACTGTAATACAATGACATATATTAGCACTTTACACAGACATATTTACCATGAAGAATACACATTAAACTCCCAACTCTTTTTTTTTACAGCTCTGGGGATGAAACTCAGGGCCTCACACATACTAGGTAAATGTTGTGTGAAACTCTCAACTCTCTCAACTCTTCTTCATATGAAAATCAATTTTACCAGTTGCTGGGATGGATTTTTTTTGGGGGGGTACCAGGGATCAAACTCAGGTCCTTGCACTTGCGGGGCAGGTGGTGGAATGACTGAGCTAAATCTTCGGCCCTGGGATGGATATTTTAAAGAAAACTGGAGACCAAATTTAGTATTCATCATACAGTTAGGGAGAGCAAGGGTAGGTGTAGAAAGGTCTCTGAGTTTCATGATGCTTAAATAAAAAACAAAATAACAACACCAACCTTTTTTTAAAAAATAAAGATCAGGAATTCTGCTCAGAAGTACAAAAACAATTAGAACAAATTTCAGGAAGTATTTGCCATCTAGCCTTTTATCTTAAAATTCTAAGCAAGAGGTTTCTTACAATTAGAATTTGGTATACCAACTTGTCAGCAAGCAAAGTAGAACTATCTTCCAAGTTAATCAATCATAAACTAGCAATTCTGAATAGTGTAAGAGCACTTTACAAAAAAGAAATCACTCACCAGGTAAAGTTTGTATTTTAGAAAAAATTATTTTTCCTTTTTAAAATGCCTGTCCAAATAGATTTAAATTAAGGGCTTTATATGTGTGAGACTGAGTGACTGGAAACAGGTAAAACAGTAACTAGGTACATGGCATCCACAGTTGCTCCCTAAAGTTTCCCACATGAATTTGTGCAGTTACGATAGACAACCGAAGGTGTTTTTATACTGAGCAAGCAGATATCAATCAAGATTTTACCATCTACGCCATACTGCTTTCTTCTCTTGCCCATGTTCCCGACCATGTTCAGTGAAACTTCAATGTAAAAAAAACAAACATAGCTGGCTACAGTGGTATGTCCCTATATAGTACCAGCCACTGGGGAGGCTGAGGTGGGAGGATTGCTTGAGCCCAGGAGTTTGAAACCATTCTGGGCAATAAGTCCCTGTACCAAAAAACAAAACAAAACAACCCCCCCCGCCCAACAAATAAAACAAAATATGTTTCAAAGGAATTTTTTTAGTGAGTGATGGGAGAAGGCTAGAAGAAAAAACGTATATATTGTACAAATATTATCTTATGTAAAGTGCTTTGAAACAGTGTTGTAAATTGCATTTCAGATACTTCAAAATAATAAACAGAGAAAATACAGTACTTTTTAAGTTTTCTGGCAAAGGGACAAAAGATGTCATGCCTGTTGGAGGACATGGGCTCAGATTTTAGGCTCAAAATACAGTAAATTGGCAATAATAGTATATTATAGGTAACAAAGAAACTAAAGATCTAAATCCATTAATTTTTAGGTACAGAAGGAATTCTGAAAGGCTAATAACAATGCCCACTGGAAACAACCTGTGGTATCTATACTCTGAACCAGTGTAAAATATCTCCCCCCAAAGAAAAACCAAAAGTAATCCCCAAAATGCAATTTTCATGAATTACAAAGTACCAAATTCCCCTGAACCCAATGTTACTGATGAGCCAGGTATTGACAACTTTATAGTATTTTTTAATATCCTAAAGTGAAATCCATAAAACAAAAGTTTTATAAAAAGTTTTCCTCACATTTCAGCGATTGAACTCATTTAAAATGTTCAAAGTCCTAATGTCCTTTGTCCCTATCACCTTCAGTTTGAAAAGCAAGTTCATTTGTGGTAAATCAGCAAAAAGACCTTTTAAAAATAAAATCCTGTATTTTCTGGATTCATTTTAGTAAATGAAATTGGGCACCTATCAGTATTATTCTTCAATAATTATCTACTTTTAAATAATTTAAAAACAAGTCTTAAACTGTTCACTGTCATTTCTTAAAGCAAATATTTCTAATATTCAAAGTCAGACTCACCTAAGCAATTTTACTTCATTTTCATTATGGTTTTTAAAAGACATGCATTATTTTAAGTTGAAAATTATGAAACTTCCTTCTGAAATTAAGGCTGTATTACTTTGCCATTTTAAAACAGTGGAGGTGCCTATTTCTCCTACTATCTGTTGTAATGGTGTCAAACAGACACTTTCCTTTAAAACTGCTTATTGCACTAAAAAATAGCAAAAACAAGTTGTAAGTTCTTAAAATAAACATGATTATATTTCTATAAAATATGTTGCCAATACAATTCTATAATTATTAAAGCACTATTCTAATAAATATAAAAGAAAAGGAAGCTATTTATTTCAAAACACATACATATATGTTTATATATACACACATACATATATATAAAAATATATATATGAAAATCACATTAAAGTATGAGAGGCAGCAAGTAAACTAGCAAAAACCAATCCCCCCATAAGCCTTTCTCTCTCCCCGCCCAATTTCAGAGGCCTCAACACTACAGCATTCTAATCTTTTAAAATATTTACCTTATGTATAACTTATAGAAACAGAAGGATTTAGAATACATATCATATATCAGACAGAAAGGGTTAGAACTTCTGACAAGGTTTTATATTTATAGCAGCTTCAACAGACTCACTAAAGAAAAAGAATAGTTTAGGTTGCTACTGTTTATGTACACATTGCACAAATGGCAAATATAAGTTCAGAGCAGGAGGAACACATAAAAAAGCAGTACCAAGAGGACTCAGAATTGTGTATGAAATAGCAGACAAAAGCAAGGTGTGCAAAATAAAAACAGAAATCTAGTTTGCCATGCTTCACATTCAAATGAGTCACATATATGAATATTTGAATGTCACTGGTAGCATTAGAAATAAAATGTAGATGATGAAGGCAGGGGAGGAAAAGAGAAATAAAGGTGGTAGTGAGCAGAGAAAAAAGAGAAAGAAAATTTCCCAATGGAATGAACCATAAAATATATACATAGATGCATATATATCTATTATCAATTTAGATTCAGATATATGTGCATATGAAGTATGCATGTATATATTTAAAAATACAGACTCCTTTTACAAGAATATATGAATGCACATTAATTTTTTGCACACATAATTGTGAACAATCATTTTGATTTTTTGTGTAGGCGTGTGTTTTTTAAACCATCATTTACTTTTGCTTTACTTTTTTTGCAAAGATAGTTGTGCTGCCAAGCAACTTGAGGTAAAGGCATTAAAAGGGTTAGACTATAAGAAGAGAAAACAAAACAACTGCGATACTTCCTATAGGAGACCGCACAAAAAGCAGCTGGCTGGTTTCATATTGCATAATGGTGCTGCATTTCTCGATGAAGTAAACAATCTTCCTGTGTCAACCTAAGGACCAGGCTCCCACACAGTGTTGGCTTCTGTATGGCTGGAGGCGTGTCTGCTCAGCTGACTACTGGAAACATACGTTGTATGTTGATTCATCTTTCAGTTCTTCCTCTTAGAGAACACACTTGGACTTGTTAAGCAAAGTACATTGTGCGTAAGGTATCTTGGTGAATCTGTACAGCCTTAGCAAGAGCTTGTGGATCTCGCCCATTGCTCTGTCCTGAAACGTGGCTTCCTTCAGCACTGTAAGAAGAGTGTCAATAAATACAAAAACAAACCACCTATTCTGATATAATAATTCTGAAGAATAGTACTCGTAGAAAATTTCAAAATTTTAAAAGAGAACGGTGTACTAAATTGTGTCCATTAACTAGCTTTACTACTGAACTCAGGGCCAATTTTATTTTACTTCATTCATTTCCATGGGATTAGTTAGAAGCAAGTCCAAGACATCATTTTATCTCTCTATATATTTTGCTTCTGGTATTACCAATAATCTCTCCCTTGGATTAATTTTGTAGATCAACTAAATTACTGTGTCATTCTATTACTATCAAGTCTAGACAGCATATTTTGATAAAATATCTTATTGTGGACAGTCAGTTCTATCATCACTTTTCATATGGCTCACTGACTGATAACTTGTGGAACTTTAATTCTAACTTTAATTCTTTATTGCAAACAGAGGGGCATATACTTACATGGAAGTACTCAGGAGAAATTTTGTACATAAATCAGAACACATCTGGATTTGGTTTGGAATATATTTTTTATGGTTCTATATTACCTGTCATGTTCTTTGTCCACGAGATGGTATCTGGCTCTGAATGCCACAAGATGAGCATAATATGCTGGTGCAGGTATAGAAACAGATCGTGTACAGCGTACGTAAGTGTGGCAGAGCTGGTAAGTGAGCAGTTGGAGTTCATCTGCAGTAAAGCAGTTATCATCCCATAAAACATGATAGTGTGAAGGACGGCTGGTACCCTATGGAGAAGGCAATGGCGTATTGCTGATTTCTAAACTTTTAAATAAATCTTCATCATAGAATAGCTTTGTATGTTAATTAGTAAAACCAATATAATTTTATAATCAATTAAAAATTTAATCGATTTGAAATATACATCCAAGTGAGAGAAAGAATTCAAACAGATGTTTGCACACCTATGTTTATAGTAGCACTATGCACAGTAACTCAAAAGTGGAAACACATCAAGTGCCTACCAATGGATGAATGGATACAAAATATAGTATAAAGGGCTCAAGATGTGGCTCAGTGGTAGAAAGGATGCTTAGCATATGTGAGGTACTGGGTTTGATCCCCAACACTACAAAAAACCCTTCAAAATCTGACATACATATAAACATATAGGCGGGGGGTTTAGCTCAGTGGTTCCAACATCTGACTTGCAAGTGCAAGGACCCGAGTTCAATCCTCGGTACCAAAAAAAACCCCACTTTGAATAAACACACAAATTGAAACACATACATACACACATACACACATACACACACACATACACACACACACACAGAGGAATATTGTTCAACCTGAAAAGGAAGAAAATTCATTATGCTAAATGAAATAAACCAGTCTCAAAAGGGCAAACAGTGTATGATTCACATATATGTGGTACCTAGAATGGTCAAAGCCACAGAGACAGAATGTAAAATGACAGGGGGTTAAGGGAAGAGAGCATGAGGAGTTGGTGTTTAATAGTATAATGTGTCAGGGAAGATGAAAAACTTCTGGAGATAGATGGCGGTATGGTTGTACAACAATGTGAATAAACCTAAGGCCACAGAACTGCAGAAAATGGTAAATTTAGGAATATGTGTGTGGGTGTGTATACATTTTTGAGGGGATAGCCAGGCATGGTGGTACATGCATGTAATCCCAGTGCTCAGGAGGCTGAGGCAGGAGGATTGCTGCAAGTGTAAGGCAAGCCTGGGCTACATAGTGAGTTCAAGGTCAGCTTGAACTGCACAGTGAGCCCTGCCTCAAAAAAAAAAACCAAATCAAACAAACAACAAAATATATTTTTTCAGGGGAGGAATTGGGGGTTGTACCCAGGGCCTCTGTATGGAACTATATCTTCAGCCCCTTTTATTTTTGTTTTGAGACATGGTCTCGGCAAGTTTGCAAGTTGCTATGCTGGGCTCAAATTTTTGAGCCTCAGCCTCCCAGAGGCTAAATTACAGGTGTGCACACCACATCTGGTCTATGTATATTTTTTAACATACACAAGCCATTCAGTTGAGCAGTATGTGCCAGTTCTATGTTAGTTTAGTTACTATGAATTCAAAGAGAAAAAGAGTTTCTTGTCTTTTGGAAAATAACTTAGTAGAGGAGACAGATCATCTATAATAAAGTATTAAGGTACAGTAATACTTTAGCCGATATATAGGTCTATATGAGAATTCCAAAGAAAGTAATCGTGGGGGCAAGCATGGGGTACTTCATCAAGGTGGGAATTTGGTCTTTTTAAGGTGAGGTGAGGTGAGGTGACGACAGAATAAATAGCCTTACAAAAAGCATGGTAGGGCATGATCTCTCATGGCGTATTTGGGGACTAGCTAATAGATTACTATGAGCAGAGCAGGGCATAAGGGAAAAAAGGTGAAGGTGAAAAGAAAGTTTGGAATTTGACTAAATGACAAACTTAGAAATTTGAAATTTCACTGATAAGTGTCAGGAAAAGCACCACATAGTTAGGAAAGCACTGGATAGTTAGGTAAATTTTTAGGAATGAGGCGTTCGGGTTTTACAAAAATAACATCAGAATTCCAGGGATGCAAGGATGGTTCAACATTTGTAAATCAATAAATGTACTACACTGTATTAACAGGGTCAAGGACAAAAACCATATGATCATCTCAATAGATGCAGAAAGGCATTTGACAAAATCCAACACCCACTCATGATAAAAACCCTACAGAAAATTGGAATAGAAGGTCTTTATCT